CTTGGCACTGCAAGCTACCAGTTTGTGTTCTACAACGACCCCCAAATCTTTTTCTATTTCTGACTTCCCTATCGGCATACCCGTGATTGTATAGCCTATTTGTTTATTTTTATGTCCAAAGTACATTACTTTGCATTTATCGACATTAAACCTCATCTGCCATAGTATTGCCCACTCCCCTATTTTATCCAGGTCCTCCTGCAATGTTATATTGTCACGATCCGTTTCTAGTACCCTCCCTATTTTTGTATCGTCTGCTAACACGGAAACATGTCTATTTATTCCCTCCCCGATGTCATTAATGAATAGGTTGAACAGTATCGGACCCAGCACAGATCCTTGAGGCACACCGCTCATTACACTAGCCCAGTCCGAAAAGGTGCCATTTACAGATACTCTCTGGACACGTTCCCGTAGCCAGTTCTCTATCCACGTACACACCACCTCATCTATGCCCATAGCCCTCAGCTTGTGAAGTAAACGCTTGTGTGGTACCGTATCAAATGCCTTTGAGAATACCACATCTACCGAGCACATTATAGAGCACCATGTGTGGGAAAGTGCAGGGTTACCCGTCTAACGGCGGCTGTCATCCCCCCCAACACCTGCTCCTTACTACTTCTCCCCACGTCCCTGTCCCGATCGTGCATGTGGGCGGTGAACGTGAGGCGGGGAGGAGATGCGGCGTGTGGAGCGTGGATGCGGGCGGGTCTGGCAGCGGCGAACGTGAGGTGGAGAGGAGGTGCGGCGCGCAGCGCGTGGAGCTGTAAACAGGGCCAACCAATCAGAAGCCGATTAAATCGATGATTGAAAAAGTTGACAACTTTTTCAATAATCGATTAGTTGTTGCAGCCCTAGTACACACGGCATCAAAAAGATCCAAAATGGCCTCTCTTAATTTGGGATTAATGGCAGTGAACTACATACCCTCAGGGGCAAGCTCATCAGTCAAAGACTGGAGTGACTTGGAATCAGACAGACAGTCTTAGCAACTGATGACTCAGAAGTTGCCAGAGCCGCAGATAAGTCAGATGCAGAATCTTTAGAACGTGTGGGAGTGCACTTGTGGCCTCTGCAGTCAGAGTCAGCCACAAAGTCTGACATGTTTAATAAAACCTCAGCTAAAAAGGCAGAAGACCCCGGCGATTTTGAAGGCTGCCGCAACCCATGTGATTGAGGTATCCCCCTAGGCTTGGCCCAACCAGCCAACCCATAAAGTTAGTCTTGAGAGACGGGGCAAGCCCTGAGGCATGTACAGCAGCTCTGGACCTGAACTTTAACAGAATGGGGTTGGAAAGCACCCTCAAGTCACTTCCAAGAACTCAACGATCTGCCTGTAATGCTTTATGTCCAAAGCTGGCATCTTCTTTAAGTCCATAGTAAGAGAATAAAAGCGCTTGGGAGGAGAAAATTGATTTTCTGTTGGAAAACATCCTGAAAAGCCAACAGTGGGGAATGAGGGAAAACGTTTACGATCTTGCACTGCCTATACCAGTCAAAATCTGACACTCAGAGGGTAACAGGTTAATCATCCAGCTTCAGAACAGCATGCATGGCATTAACCCCTTCATGAACAGTGTACGTCACTGTCATCTAGCCCGTTTAAACAGACTGACTCTGTTCACATTTGTTAAGCCGATGTCCGGCTTTACAACAGAAGCGATTCTGGTGACTCAGTTATCGCCAGATCGCTTCTACAGGCACATAAAACACGTGTCAGGTGCTCCTACGTATGAAAACGACGATCGCGCTACACATGTTGGGTATCGCCGCGAAGGCCGGAGTGAGAGCAATAATTCTAGGGCCAATATTTAGGCATATATCTCTAAACTGATGACCTGTGGGGGCTTTTAAAGCGTCATCTATGGACTTTTGGGGTACTGAATGTTGTTGCAGTTTCACGGACGCACACAATTTTTAACCAAGGAATGTTGGGTATCTAACAAATGGGTATTTTGTGTGTTTTAGGTTACTTAAGTGCATTTTTAACTAAATGTTGGGGTTTGATAAAGTAGTTACGCTAAGGTCCTGCAACATAAAAATGTGCAACTGCCACCATTTTATTCTATAGGGTCTTTGCTTTCAGAAAATATATAATGTTTGGGTGTTTAAAGTAATTTTCAGGCCTAAAATGTGGATTATATCATGTAAACAAAAAAATGGGGGAAAAAGGCCTCGGTCATGAAGGGGTTAATCCAAAAGACCACAAGTTCCTTTTGCTTAGGGCTGATAACGGCAGACTGCAAATCTTCTAAGAAAGGCTTATTCATGGATGGCAGGGAGTCAGAATGGAAGTCAAAAGGACCGAGTAGCAGCAGCAAAGAAAGAAGACAAGTCAGACACAGCCAAGGAGAAGCTGTGGGATGCTGCTGTCTCTATGGCGAGAATGGGTCACCAGCTAAGCAATACAGCATGTGAACCATTGCATGACCGAGGAGAAAACCTCTCCAGATAAGGCCAAAGAGGCCGAAAAACCCAAAAGGGGAGCCTATGAGAATGGGGCTGAAGCCAGTACCAGTAAATACATAAATCGTAAATAGTACTCAAGAGGCCCCCACTTTGAAGAGCATGCAGAGCAGAAGCCATAAGACAACTGTGTGCAGAGATTACCTGTGAATGCCGAATGATTCCCCACTCTGTGCTCAGAGTCAGACATGATGTGACCGCAGGAAGAGTAAACAAGAGGGTCAAGGTAGGAGGGTAGCCCTCAGTTACTCATGGAACCTGGGTAGGAGCTGAAATCCAACCAGTCAAACAAAGCTAAAGGTGAAAAGGCATCATTGTATGCAGGCAGCAGGAACCGAACCAGAAGCAGAGAGATGCTTCTAGGTTGCTAGCTTGCAGGAAAGAGCAAGTGGAGTGTGCATACCAACATGTACGAAAAAACACCAACAAAAACAAAGTGTGTGTGGGGCGCACTCGGGTGAATGGATTAAAGTTTAGTATGGGTCCCTAATGTGCAGCTCTGCATTGGAGCTCGTGGTGTGAAAGATGTTTCGAACCGGCTGGGGGAGGGCCAGCAGGATGAAGGAATGCGGGTGTAGTCGCATCTCCATCAGTTCAGGTTGTAGAGCTCCCGTGTTTCTGTTTGTTCAGTTATCGACAGACACCTTCACCTGTCCACTACAGCCTGACGAAAATTCGTCACCTGCCACACAAACAGGACCTTCAGACAGACAGTCTCCTAATCGGACGCAGCAATTTCACGTGGGACCGG